TTCTTATACCCATTTTAACCTTTAATTTTAACAAAATTACAAAATTATCAACACCAAATTAGAAAATCCATGCCTGCAGCTTGCTCCTCTCATCAAATCTTCCTTGCAGTTTGGACCGATCGGTTCATCGGTTCAACCGATTGAACCGGTTAAATCGAGAACCAAACCTGAAAATGGTTCAATGATCGGTCTGGTTTTAAAAATCTTGGTTCATGGACCAAATCGGGGGTCCGTACAATAGTTCAGAGACCAAAAAAGGGTTTTAACCAAAAAATTAATATTTTGCCCATATGAATCTGGCAATCCAACAATTATAAGAAATAAACAATCTAGCGATTCTAAGAAAAAATAATAATATGCTGCCTAGTTAATTGAATTTCTATACTAATTTAATTCTAATCTAATGAAGTTAGTTAAGAATGAGTGGGATTACTTTATCTACTACTTTAACACCAAAAGACCAAACCTTAAAGCCATTCATTCCAAAATGGTAGAATTTGTTGTACCTATGTGTTGACGACCACTTAAGATTTTTCAAAATGAATTGAAAAATCAAGATTTATCATTATTAAGTGTGAAAAATATAAAAGACAAGGGGAGTCGCCACTCGTCCAAATTATAAGGTGGGACAAGTCACTTAAAATGGGTCTGCGCAGAGATTGAGGTTCGGGGGTTCGGTTAGGAGTAAGGAAGGGCATACGTGCACCTCACAATCCTCCGTTTAAACACGGTTGCATACTTTAAAATTGGGGTTTTAATTCAACTTATTTATTATGTTTATGTTTAAGTCTTAAAAAGCAAACTTAAAAAAAGAGATAAACCGAATCAAAATATTTTTTTTTTTGGACTTAAATAGACAATATCAAGAACATGCATGCACAATAAACACATAAAAATTAAATGGACTACTTTGATTAAAATAAAAACAAAGGACTGATTTGAAAAGGTTTAAAACTTTTGGACTAAAGTGCTTGAACATGAAAGGATTGTGCGAAATTGAAATAAAAGAAATAACTTTTGATTTTTTTTTTACTTTTTAACCTTTTTAGGTTTTTTTTTTTATTGGATTGGGTCCCGACCCAATCCAAAAACACAATCCAAGCATAAAAATAGATAAAAGAAGATTAAACACACAAACAAAGCAGCAGAACTAAGATTCATGGAATTTAAACAAAATTTTTTGCAGAACATGCGTTCAGTTTCGAATTCAACACATATTAATTACATGCTATTAAAAATCTGTCATTCATTCATCAACAAAATAACATCATACATCAACAAACATAGAAATCTAAAAGTGAAAATTCCAGAAAAAGACAGCGGATCCAGTTCAAACAGAGGAACCCCACACACGGGATCAAGCTCTGTTCGTCACCTTCACCACCCTTTTCCTGAAATTTCTCAGTTTCAGAAAATTACCTAAGGGCAAGAAAACCCCAAAAATGTTAAATCTCCAGCTGGTCTCTTCTAAAAAAAAATCACAATCCTTCTCTTTCAGCCGCTCGAAATCTCCTTCTATTCCTCCCAAAACTCAGGCGAAAAACTCCTCAACAGAAAACCAGACCCCCCCTAAAGACCTCTGCCTCTTGCTCTATATAGACCCAAATAACAGTACAATAACATAAAAAAAATTTCTCTGAGGATGCTAATTGTTTGTTATTCACTGTCTTTTCTGCATGGCTGTAGCGTGCAGGTTGCAGGGCGCAGGATTGGGCACTGGAGTGCATGAGGCGCAGCAAGGTGCAGCAACAGGGGTGCAGGCTCGGTGCAGGGGAGTAGGTGTAGCATGCGAGGGGGTGATGATGGCTAGCGTGCAGGGGCATCATTGCCGGCAGTGGGGCGCAGCAGGGCAAGCAGAGTGCAGGCGATCTAGTGCAGAGCGCAGTAGCTGGTGCAGGAAGCAAGGCCGGGCGCAGCAGAGTGCAGGCTGGGGCAGAGTGCAGACGATCTGGGCACAGAGCAGGGAGCAGGGGCGTAGGTGCAGGGCTGGTGCAGCAAGGCTGGGCGTGCGAGGGGGCGATGATGGCTCGGTGCAGAGGAGCTGGGTGCGGTGTAGAGGATCTGGGCTGTGCAGGGGCGAGAGGAAGCTGGAGATTGATGCAGAGGAGCGTGGAGGCTGATTTGGGAGAGAGAAAAGTAAAAGAAAAATGGAAGAACAAGGTTCTTGAGAAAAAAAAAAGATTTAATCTTTTTTTCTTTTCTTTTTTTTTTTTTTGATTAAATGGGTTTGGTATTTGGGCTTGGGTTTGGGTAATTGTTGGTTTTGGATTTTTGGGTAATTTTTGGTTTTGGGATTTTGGGCTTGGGTAGTTGGTAGGCTTTGGGTTTTGAGTAATTGGGTTTGGATAATGGGCTCAATTGAAATGGGTTAGTGTTGGGTTTGTAAATTTGATGAATTTCACCTTTAAACTTTTGATTCCTTCAATTGAGTCCTTTCTCGAGTTTCCTTTCCCATTTCC